AATGGCTCTTGGAGGATATGGGTGTTTCCCAACCATCTTCTATTGATCTTATTGTGACAATCAAAGTGCTTTACAGATTGCTCACAATGATGTTTTTCATGAACGCACAAAACATATTGAGGTTGATTATCATTTTATTCGACATCATGTTGCCAAAGGTACTGTCCACCTAGTCTTTATTGGCTCTGCTAATCAACCTACAGATCTCTTCACTAAGGCTCATTTTCTTAGACGCTTCCGCACTCTTCTTTCCAAACTCAAGCTGGTCTCCTCTTCACCACCTTGAGTTTGAGGGGGGATGTTACAGAATATTCTCCCTTGATTATGTCCACATTATTATGATTATATTCAGATTATAATTGATTAATATAATTAGATTAATTGATTTTGTACCACAAAATATTCTCTTGTATAAGCCTATAAATAGGCACTTTGTATATTCAAATAAATCAAGAAAAGCATTTTCTTCATATTTTTCTCTCTTGCTTATTTCCTCACACGGTTAAAGCTTATATAATTACCTAAAAATATATCTAGTGGTGCGTCTAGCATCAATTGAGATTAACCTCAATCATCTTCATTAGAACCCTGACTTGGCATCCAACTTGGGGGTCGATGAACTACGCTAGGAAGGGAGGTTGACATACGTTCACTTATAGATGACAACCTCTTGCACTTTATCTCCCAAGTTCTTGCCATAGGAGAAATCTGTAACATACCCTGTAAACTAAACACATTCAAGGACTTGTACCAAGCTCGGAAGATTCACCTAGTTCTGGCATTGTGCTCCGGATCAAACTTATTCCACGGTGCACGCTTCTCACACGCATCCCACTCTGATCGGTAGCGATACCAATTGTTGTTTGCAACCTAAAGCTTCTACTGGAGATCATGCCGAAGAAGGTCATACTGGACAGAGTAGTGTACATAGAGTGTAAAAGAGGTATTATCTCAAAAATCCGAGGGTGGTACTCCACCACGCCTTTGGAAGTAAGATGGAGTTTCTTGCTGCAAATCGCCACTATGAATCCACTTGCATCCTAAACATGGTTCTTCCTTCAATTTGTGAGAGTAAGCACTCAAGGAACCGAATGAGATTCATGCATGCATCTAGCTGCTCTTCTGGGACTAGCCCATTCAAACCCAGAATTTGCTTAAGGTATCGCACCTCTAGCTCAAGTGCGACTGTGTGATAGGCCATAGCAAACTATAAGGTTGCCGCAAGAGATTCGGAGAAAGAATACAAGAGTGGCTTCAGCACAGTCATGTATGGATATTCTGGATGGATCTTATCCGGAATAAGCACCTGATCTCCATGGCGTCTATGGAAGACAGCTTCAAACTGAGTCATCTGATCTTTCGCCAATGATGCCAGCGCCTTCTTGGTGATGGTCGTTTGGATCTCTGGTGGGAGATCTGTTACCTTCGAGAGGATAGTAGGCATGTTGGATATGGAAGAACAACCGCTTCGCACCATCAGGAACTGGAAGAAGGCAATGGAGAACTGATACATTGCCAAAATTTAGACTAGTTAAAAGTTGGATAGACATTGATGAGGGATTGGCTAGGGAGGGCTTAAGGACTGATAACTTTCATTAAGTGAAATTTGAAGCAGTGGTATAAGGATAGGTGAAAGGTTGGTTCATTTATTAAATTGATTATACATGATGGTTCATTCAATGAGTGAAGCAAACTAGCGTTGTATGAAAGGCAAGCAAGGTTAATTGATGGCGGCATAGGTAGACCGAGGGTCAGCAAGCGGAAAACACAACAAGAGGTGAAAAGCATTAATTCAGATTAAGTAATAATTAAATTCATAATGATGTAAAGTTGAAATTTTATATCGTGTAATTACTTTTTTTACTTTATATAAAATAACTATGACAAATCAAATTTCTACAAATATTACAACGTCAATTTCTAATGTATGTCCTTAAGGTAGAGGTTTTAAGAAATGGAAAATTTTCTATTTAAACTTTCACTTGTCTATTTAAATGTATACGTGCAGGTATGATAGTAACTTTTGTGTATAATGTTATAGTTAAGTAAAGAGTACCCGTCCCATGCATGGGGAATGGGGATATACAATTAAATTATTTTTGTTGTTAAGTTTTATGAATTTAAAGTTTTATATTATATTTATTAGTTTTATAAGTATGAATATGCATTGAAGGTCAATGGTGAATGTATTTTTGTTTAGGGTTTTCCTATATATCAATGATGTTTCAAAAATAATGATATCAAAAAAACAGTTAATTTATACTATGCTTATTTTAATGCGTTAATTTAGAGTCACATTTAAATTGTTATACAAATAAAATGCTTTATAGAATATCAAAAATAAAGAAAAAAAAAAAACTTAAAATATGTATTGATAGGGGGAAATGGAGGTGTAACGTCCCGAGTCCCATATTAGTAGAGACTTGTGAGTAAACATGGTATAAAATTATGGAAACCAACCAATATTAATAACCTTAACATCAGCTTTGGAGGGTCCATCAACTTTGGTCCCTAGAGTTGTTACACCAGTGACAGAGTTTACCCTAAATCAGTTTTGGATTGGAAGGGAAGATTTTTTTTATGAATCTAATTATTAATTTTTTTAAAAGATGTAATTTGATTTGTTACAAATTTTTCCTTCCACTACTGCAGGAATGGGATTTTCGAACCGAAACATCGGTCCGGATATATAGGAAATCGGTCTGAATATATATATCCGGACCGATATTGGTCCTTATAGTTGATCCGAAAAAACCTGGTACGAATAAGTCTAATATACAGACCGACGCATAATCGGTTCGTATATATATAATATTCGGACCGAAATCGGTCCGTATATTTCAGTAAGAAATATAAATAATTATTGAGAAATTGAAATAAGCGGACCGAAATTGGTCCCAAAAAAATAAAATAATAAAATAATAAAATATATACGAACCGACAACGGTCTGTAATTGTGGGGGGAAGAGGCATCGCAAATATATACGGACCGGTATCGGTCCGAATATTAAGGACCCAGCTGCAACTTTTAAAACTTGCAACTATATCCCGACCGGGATCGGTCCGAATATTGTGGACTTACTTGTAACTTTTAAAAGTTCCGTCTCCCAACCGGCGCCATTCTATAAATATATACAGACTGGTATCGGTCCGAATATTGTGGACTTGCTTGTAACTTTTAAAAGTTCCGTCTCCCAACCGGCGCCATTCTATAAATATATCCAGACCGGTATCGGTCCGAATATTGTGGACTTGCTTGTAACTTTTAAAAG